CCTTTCGATGACCGTAGCCAACCATACTGCGGTAAGGCCCTAACATGGGCAATGAATATGCTTTTTGTACCAGCATATCTTTTTACCCAAAAGGTAGCATTATAGCAATCAAGCTTCATTTAAAAGTAATCGGTTGAACTTTTTTCGGTCCTCTGAATTTTCGATTTTCAACCACTTCTAGTGCTAAGATCATTGGATAAACTAGATACGCCTTTTTGTAGAGCGGATGCTTCTTTCAAACAATATAGTCTTGCCAAAATCTCCAGTTCAGAAAATTTCTGAATGTAAATGAAAGGTACGAACTTATCCGACTATCTAATATGTATGAATATGATTAGTATATTCCGAATACAAGTTGTTGTTTCTAAACCGATAAGGCCCAAGCCTTACATATGAACATTTCAGGAACGGGTGGCTAAACTAGGCTACTTTATACCTTGGTCTGTTGTCTGCCGGCGTTTATATCATGTTTTCTGCCCAAAAAAGTCCATGATGTTAAGTACAAGTAGTCATTATGCGCGCCATTAAACCATTTAAACGTGATTATTTAAGCACATTACAGTTTCTGAGTAGGAGTTCATTAAGGTGGAGCGTAATAAGCATTTTAGAAAAATTTTCATCAACTTTGCATTTTCCATCGCTGTAACATTTGCGCCCTAAATGTAAAAGAAGCTGCTCTCTAAACTATTTAAAAAGTATCTGTAGCCTCAGATTCTCACATTGCTGCAACGCATAGTTAGAAGTAAGAAGTTGATGGTCGTGTAAATGTGGTGGTCATTATTCTTAGGTTTTCTTCTAAACGTTGTTAAAATCTTGGTTCTGTTTTCTGCATGCCATACATCATCTCTTTTTATTTAAATCGACGAAATTACTTTGTCCAAGCAGAAAAATTAATGTTTCATAAGAATATTTTAGGTTTTTTGAAAGCTACCATCTAAGTTAAAGACGAAGGAGTACCACTTCTCGGACATCTTAAATTTCTTCGTTAGCTTTAATTTTTGCAGTCCTAAACACGCAGTTGCTTTAAGTCCATAAATACAGATTATTCTGATACAAATTTGAGGACTAAAATCCTTACGCATAACTAGGTATGGAGGTAATTATCAGTGATTAATGTTTTCAATTAGCTGATATGTGTGATGTGAATGAAGAGATGTGTAATTTGATAATATTGCAGCAATTTTTTTTTACATATTTGTCTAGCTGAGGTGTAAAGATTTGCTCTATCAACGAAACGCGTTTCAATGTAAGAAGAAGCGCTGTGTAAGGGACTACTAAAAATTACACGTTCTTCTATTGTTTAAATTCCTTTGATCTTACAAGTTTCCAGTTTTTACATTATTCATCACATAAACGGACAAACTTTGGACGCTTGATTCTGCGCGGAGTGTACAGCAGCTAGAAAGCTGAAGGGCATATTTGTGACAAAATCCCTAGGTAAAAGACGTCCCTCTTCCGAACTGCTCACATCCAGAAAATCTTGTAACATTACACACAAAAATAACATTTTGTGCGAAAGTAATTACGCGATTGCACGGGTATAGCTTCCATTTTCTTAAGAAAAGGGAAGATGTAAGTGTTCAAAGTTTCTTTACTCTTCTAATTTAAAATATAGAACATATACAGAAGATATGTTTATTGTGCATGACAAAATTCAGCTCCACCATAAGGATTTAGCTGACGCGAAAGTGCAGTCGAGTTCCCGTTACAGATACGCAAGCAACCTTGCGGTTTTAGATTTTAGAAATCAAGCGGCTTGTACATCCAACTTTCCTTTTTGGCTTCTTCAAGCGCTTGTTCAAGAGCACGCATCCGACCTTGATGTAATTCTAAAAAGTTAGCATTACTTAGATATTGTAACATGGAAATAACTCCCTACCTTCCTCCAACTCCTTTTTGTGGACTTCAAGTTTTTCATCTACATACGCTTTGAAGTAGATCTCTTTAACATTGTCTAAATACAAATAATCATAAAATCGAATTTCATCTAGATGAACAGCGAGACAGAGCATAACAAAAACTGTTTAAAAAAAAAACTCAAACTGTAAATATTTTCACATGAGCATACCTAGCATTAAGAAAGACTACGTTTTTGATGAATACTCACAACCACAAAGCCTCTTATTTCAAAGGAAAAGACACGAACGCTGTTTATTACAGAAGGAAACATTTATGACAAAGAAAAGGAAATACCTGCTTTGAGACTCCTACTAACCGGTGTTGGTGACATGTAAATAGATCGTTCATCTTCAAGATCGGGGGTTTGCGGAGCACTGAAAAGGTGAAAATCTATGTTTTCAAGATTTAGTAGAGATGTGTGCATTGATGTGTTTACATTGTCTATGTCCTTCAACCTCTAAGTAGTTTATCTGCTTCTTTATCTGCTTCAAGTGCCTGTGCCGATTTCTAGCCCTAGAATGAGGTGAGGTGACGCATGATTCGATTTCACTTATTCCTGTTTCCTTTGTACTGCGTAGATTAATACTACGAAATTAGATCCAATAACTGTAACGTTAATCATTGCAACGCGTTCATATAGCCCTTCACTGTTTTATGTGAGGGTCGTTTGGTAATCTGAGCGTAAGCGTTACCTGTATGGACGTTACTCTTTTTTTTAAGAGCCTATTTGTTATTTTCACTGTAAGATAGACTAGAAACTAAGGTAGAAGCCAAAGTATATGTAAGCTTATAACGCTATGATACAACGTTGAGCGGTATCGTACGCTTTATAACGCTATGATACAACGATGTGAGCGGTATCGTACGCTAGGTGACTATATGATTAAAACAAAAAAATGCGTAAGCTACAGGGTAGACCATGAGTAGGGACCTTGGATAGAATCTCACAAAGCAAACCCTGATAAAGGTTGCGATAATCCTAATCCAATCAAAAATGAGATTTTAGTATCATATAAATGATGTACATTGATGCCATTAAAAAGTAACCTTCAAGAAGCAATCGAATAAAACCAATTCTGAAAATTTCAGGAGGCATTGGTACAGTTAAAAGGAGCAATTAGGACTAGACACAGGAACTTGTTACCTGAACGGTGAAGCCGAAGACGATCCGAATCCGAAAGGTGAGCTAGTAGTCGGAGAAGATTCAGCGTTCGACATTATTGAGAACATCGCAGTTCTGTGGAAAACAATTATTTCAAATGAATAAAGATTGGAGTAGATGAAATCACGGGAAAACAGAGATTTAGCAAATGATGGAAGGAAATGATTTAATATGGGAGGTGTTTAGTCGGAGGGGAAACCAATCGTTTTAAATTGATGGACGCACCACGGAACACTGATTCCAAATTGACTTTCATATCCGTCAAGTGTTTCGCTGAAGAAAAGTACGGCCTTTCAAAAAAGTCCAACGTTTATTTGAAGCAGCAATGCAAAAGCTAAATTTTTTGCCTGAATTGATTTAAAAAATACTTTCTGTATAGTATTTCACGTTAAATGATGCTCTAGAGCAATCTTCTTGGCCGCACAAGTTTTTTTTTTTTGGAAAAAGAATATTACCTCTTATGGGGATTTGCTTAGCAGAAGTGAATGAAGTTTGATA